CGCGGATGAGGGGGAGGTGGGCACCCAGAAGGAGGGGCCGTACTCGAAGGTGCGCGCGTGGTGCAGGACTAGGTTCTTCAGGGTACGAGACCGGGTTTTTCGTGTTGCGGCGTCTAGGTGAGATAGGATCTTGGGAACCAGCCGTCTTGGTAGAGCGGTATTGGGGGGGCGCCGAGCTGGCTACCCTCCCCCCCTGTGGTTTCCGGAGGCTTGATCGCCCTGCGTTGCCGCAGGGTCTTCCCGTTTGAGTACTTTTCAAGTTAGACCCAGTGCTGTGGAAGGGCGCGGACTTGTGCGGTGTTACCCCCCCGACGGGGGCTATCTCCCCTGGACTAGCCCAGGGAGGGAGAGGCGGAGGAGGGTAGTAGTCTCAGGAGGCTGTTTGGCGTCTTGTGGTGTGAGCTCTTTGCGCTCTTTTTTTGCATGAGGATTTTTGAGCTTGGTGACCTCCCCAGCCCGGGATGACTCGTCGGGCTCCCGGTCGCCCAGGTCCTGGTTGCGAGCTCTCTGAGATGCTCGGTTCGTTCGGTCGGCAGGAGGAGCCCCCCAGTTGCGACTTCGTTTATGTTAGGAGACCAACGGGCATAGATCCCGTCTAGTTGGAGCGCCAAACAAGCGCTGTTGCGTGCCGGCCGTCGTTTCCCGTGCGGCCTGACCCGGGGGCGGAGTGCATGAGACTAACCAGCCGTATGCACCCGCCCCTCGCGCTGTGCTTCGGCCCTGGGCCCCCGGCTTTTCAGCCCACAGTGTAATCAACGTCATACATACATACATACATACATACATACATACATACATACATACATGGTGGAGTCACCCGAAAGCAACTCTGGCTATTACTGGCCCCAACCGGATGCGAACAGGCCGTATGGGATATAATCGCCCTGTCGGCCCTGTCTGCCATGGAGGTTGGCAGATGCTGCCTGAGGGCAGCGGGCAGGAGGCAGGAACGAGCTGGGAGCCAAGGACCACAGAACCGGGAGCACGCGCAGCAGGTGCAGGTACCCGGCCCCAGGCAGAGGCGGATAACGGACTTTTTCATCCAGGCCGACGGGGCGGGACCGCAGACGGGGCCTGCACTGAATGCGCCGGGGGATGAGGACCAAACGCAGGAGCGGAACACGGCGACAGGGGCGGTAGCAGCAACGGCAGGCGCGGCGGCAGCAGCACCCGCAGCAACCCCCTTGGAGCGGGCCTGCGCCCGGGCAGTGGTGGACTTCTGGGCGCGCCTGCGCTCCTTCACGGCGCTGGGCA